GGGGGCGGAGCGTGGGTGGGGTAAGGGCGCCGGCGAAGGGGTGGGGGCGGGGCCGCGCGCTCCACTGGGCGCCGCTTGAGCGGAACGGCCCCGAGCGCCCGCCCTCTCGTCCTCAGAGGGCCTCCCTCGCCCCCGCCCTCCGGAGAAGCACGTCTCCTCTGGCCCCAAGTGAGGCGTGCAGTAATCGCGGTACAGCGTCTCATCAGTACATAGTAACTTCCGTGGATGTTATTAAACAACCGGCTTCACGGCTACTGTAGCGAAATTGAGATTATTTTTAAGAGAAAATATCTAATTATATAATAATACGTTCTTTTTCACATTTTCATTTCTCGACAATCCTACGATTTTGTACGATTTCACATCTCCACCTTTTTGGCGATGCTCTTATTAGTGGGAATGTTTATTTCCATTATTTTTGTGTGAAAAGCAGTGTTCTCTTTGGAGAAACAAAATAAACGAATAGACTAATATTACATAAATCTCTCGGTGATCTAATTATTTGACGATACTCAATTTTCACATAACATGGAATGCAAATGATAAAATCACAGTAGCAATTTAATATTCTTAGTTTTCAACACACTCTTATTTGGAGATACTCTGTACTAATCACTTATAGTGCTACATTTCTGACTAAATATATAAATATGTCTTATAAAAATGTAAATAATAACCACATAATTTCATATAAATCGCTTCGTACCACCTACAAAGTGTGAAGATGTTTCGCTGAATAGAAACGTGCACAGGAAACTTGCAGAAATTAAAGTACCGATATCACTGTAAAACCAATCATTATATTTTGTACTTTGAAAACTACTAAACTCTTCTGCTTTCAAATTTGATTATTATTATTATAACACAACCAATATTAACTGAATTATCGTCAAATCGAAATAGTATCTTGAATGAACATAATTCCAAATTATCACCATTGCATCTCGAATTTTCATCTTTCGATCTCCTCATTTTTCCTCCACCTCTACTTCTTTTTCACTTCTTTCATCCCCTCATCCTTCTCCTCCTATGACCTTTCTCCTTCTCTCCTTTCTCCTAAAGAGAAGAAGAAAAGAGGTGAAGGAGGAGGAGGAAGAGGAGAAGAAGGAGAAAGAAGAGAAGGTTCTTCTTTCTTTTCCTTTTCCTATTCCTCCTCCTCCTTAACCTCTTCCGTCTCCTCCTTTGCCTCCTCCTCCTCCTCCTCTTCCTCTTCCTCCTCCTCCTCCTCCTCCTTCCCCTCCTCCTTCTCCTTCTTCTTCTACTTCTTCTTCTTCTCTTTCCCCTCGGTATGCATCTCATCTCCCTGCTCTCCTGCTTTCCCTCATCCATCAAAGGCCTCCTTCCATAAGCTAACGTTTGCTCGCGCGTTGCAGGTGTCCTCGTCGTGCAGCTCGGTGTACGTGGACGGATCGGAGCAGCGCGGCTCTTCCAACGCGTCGGTGCTGGTCAAGTACGGCACGTACACGGGGCTGGCGCGCTTCACCGTCTGGATGCCCGAGTTCCCGCTCGAGGTGCACGTGGCCGACTTCCGCCTCAGCCAAGTCAAGGGCTGGAAGGTGCCCGACCTGCAGGCCGCCGTGTGAGTACACGCAAAGCGAACCCTTCACTTAAGCGGTTGGGAGGAGCTAACCTCTCACATCGTTGCTGAGCTAACCTCTCACATCGTTGCTGAGCGGCGCCGTCTTAGCTCATGTGTGACGAAACAAATGGGGCCTTGGCTTTTGTAATTTTCTGCCGCTGTCTGCGGAGCGACTCTGAACGGGAGGTCCTTGGATTCGAGTCCCAACGCTGACGGATTGCCGACACTGGCTGTATAGCTAGGTCGAATCCTGTCGCTGGCTGGAGGAGAATTCTAGTGGCCAGATGCTCTGATCCGTTTTCCGTGGTTTCTCCGATGAATGCCAGGCGAATGCCGGTGCAGTACCCTAACAAACTGATCGACGATCGCGCGCAATCTTTCTTCCACCACGCTTTCCCCATCCCTTCCCAAAACTCACTTTCACTTAAGTGCACTACACTAACAGACTTAAGTCAGGAGTATATGTAGTCGTTTGCCTAGAGCTTGTTCCCACTGGGGCGGTGCCCTACTGGAGGAGATGCTTGGAGGGTGAAATACCTGCAAGGCAACGTATAGGCGCCGGACCTCACTACTCAACAAAGAAAGAACAGCGCCACCTCTCGGGATGAAACATTTACTACACTAACAGAACTAATTTCCATAGCAGTCGACGTGTCAGAGAACATCAACCAATCAACCTTCGTAATTTTTAATTACATTCAATTTAATTCTCAATTTTTCAGTTCTGTACAAAAACTATAACTTACCTTAATCAACAAATCCTTTTGGTACGGACAGAATGGATCCTGGTTTTGTCAAATTCACATTTGGGATAACACGGCCGTTTACGATCGAATATTCGAACCCTCAGTAGAGATCAGGCATGATCGCACTGCTCCCAACGCGTTTTGGAAAATACGGCCTACCTCCCAAGCTGACAGAAAGGTATGAAATCATACGTGAATTGTTCGACTATACTGAGCCATTTAACATGGTCTGATCGAAAACAATCTTCTTTCCTTAGTTTTTAAAAAAAACTCAATTGAAGGTTTTCAATTCAACAATGTGAAATTATTCATAAATTACAAAAGAAGTCGATTTTATGAGTTGATGATAATTTATTGCCAGAAGTAAACTTAACATTACTATGCAGTAGGAGTCGAATATCTTCCACGTCTTATCAAGGATACCTCATGTTAAATGTAGCTATCGCCGAAGAAGTTTTGATATTTTCAATTATATCACATGTTGACTATGAGTAGAATGACGAGTTGAGTGGAAGACGAATATCTGATGCAGTGTACCGCTGCCGTTCGTCAACCATTGGACCGTTCGCTCCAGAAACTTCCATCGGCCTAACACAGATACACTCACAACATTCCCTTCCTTCTTCACGAAGACCCTACGGAGACGGCTCAGGGTGGGCGGTGTGATGAGGTGGCGCGACGTGTTCCAACAGCGGCAAGATGAAGCGCGCCACGGAGGACTACCGCGGCGCGGGCGGCGTGGGCGGTGGCGGCGGCGGCGGCCTGGGCGCGTTCCGCGGCGCGGGCGGCTGGGCGGACGTGGGCGGCGACGCGGTCAACGGCATCGACTCCGAGCGCGCGCACCCGGCGTGCCGCCTGCGCTTCCAGCAGAGCCCCGTCGAGGTAGGTCGCCAACGCGCCCCCGAGTCTTGCTCGCGCTAGTTACCTGACTCCGACGGGTATTTTCTTGTGCTGTGCAAGTACATAATAAAAAAATAACTTTATTCATAATACACTATGAATTACCCGAGTGTGGTGACTCCGCCAGGTATTTTCTTGTACTGTGCAAGTTCATAATAAAAAAATAACTTTATTCATAATACACTATTAATTACCCGAGTGTGGTGACTCCGCCAGGTATTTTCTTGTGCTGTGCAAGTTGATAATAAAAATAAAATGTAATCACAATATAGTTGCCCTGTGACGTAGAAAGTTACTTGAAAAAGTATCAATTGAAACCTTTTTGAACATCTTTTATTCATTTCAAAAATAGTATAATGATCGCCAATCTAATGAATCAACTATTAATGTTACGCCAGAAAAGCAGTATAGTCATTTACATAATTCCATCACTACAGTTGCCTTGAACGCCCCCTCCCCCGCAAAAAATGTTTGTTCAATTTTTTTCTAGAGTAATGTAAAGAGATTAGGCTGATAACTTTGGGAAACGATTCCAATTTTCCAAAAGAATCTAATGAGCTTATAATCAGAGCTATTTACTTGCACAGACCTCGTAAATACGTTTAATGTGCTCAACTCTTCCTCGTCGAAAAGCCATGTTTTTTCGAGTTTTCTTTTAGAATGCTCGCAGGTTACCCGATTACTATACGTAGGAACGACAGAAATTTACACAAAGATTTTTTGTCTAAACGTTATTGAAAACTTCAATTGAATATGGAGTTATATATTAACAAAATACTCTGACTAGAATATGTAAACATTAATTACAAAGTTTGAAGGGATCGATAACACCGTTTTCCGTCTATCAGCCTTTTCAACATTTATATAAAACTTCACCGACATATTAAATTCATTTTAAATACAATTTGGAATATGAAGCTCTTAAGTGTTTCGGAATTCAATTTTAGCTATTCTGAAACGAGTATGAGAAGGTGGTTTCAAATTTCTCTTTGAAACTGAATAAATAATTAGTGTATCATGTTTCAGCAATGATTTTTAATGCAGGAAAGTGTTAGGAAAAAAACAGTGAAACAATAATTTTAATATATATGTGTATTATTTATTGTATTTAATATTTTTAATAATTCATGAAAGACAATAGAAAGACAGAAGCATTCTCATGAAACTATAAAATGCCGACATACAAGTAAAAACCCCCCAAAAACGGAAGCTCATTTCGTATTCATGTGGAGTGCACCGTGCCGTCAACCTTTAAATATACAGTAGCTGGAGGTGCAACTTTTTCATTGCAAAATACATTGTTTTGAATCTGTGAAAAAGTCTGTTCTTGTAGCACAGGTAAGGGAGAGAGATATTTTTGTAACTGAAATTATAAATTCAGTTACATCCACATTAAAATGTAGATTCCCAATATTCCAAACCTCCTAAATAACTGAAGTGCTACACTTTTGTCGTTGTTTGAAGATCTCTTTTCAATTTGAAGAGTAAAAAATACTTGACGTAACCGAAATTACGTAATATTGGTTTGTCATGTAACGTACAAACATTCCAAAATTGTGTCTTTCTGTTTTAACTGTATGTGGAAACATGTAGCGTGGAAAAACGAAGCCACCCATGGCAGGAAATAAAAGTCTGTGAAGTGAGTAGAAAATTGGCTGGCCAGAAACCGCAGTTTCCAAAGCGTAGTTACCAATGTTTCGGCCGTCATGACGCGACTATACTTAGGGTAAAATGCGCGGAGGTGGGCCGTGCATTTGCCATCAGGATGGTCGTAATACCACGGCCGAAGCGGTGGCCGCACTGCGTACGACGCAGTGTCTAGCGGGTAGTCAAGTAGTATCTGCTGCGTCCGGTCGCGGAAGCCTACGCTTCCGTGCGCAGCGAGCGCTGGCAGAGAGCTGAGGTGGGGCGCGTGTGTGCAGGTGTACGCGCGCTTCCTGGCCGCCGACCAGGACACGGGCCGCGTCAGCTACTTCGTGAGCCGGCGCACGTGGCTGCGCGTCACCGACCTGGTGGAGAGCCTGCTGCGCGTGTCGGACCCGCGCATCGCCAGCCTGTCCGGACGCATCCTGCAGGGGCGCGGCACCGGACGCACCGAAGTGCAGGTGAGAACCCCCGACCCTGACCCTTCCCTAACCCCGACCTTGTCCTTGTGCCTGCCCTGTGCCTGCCCTGTGCCTGTCCCTGTCCCTGTCCCTGTCCCTGTCTCCGTCCACTGCCCTGACCCTGATTCTGATACTGTTGTCTAGGCTATCCGGGACAAACCGCGTCACTGACATAGTGGCTAACGTTTGGGCCAGCGTATTGTGGACTTCTTCAGAACGTACTGCTCTGAATTCTATCTCTGATCCTGACCCTGACCCTGACCCTGACCCTGTTCTTGTCCCTGTCCCTGTCTCCGTCCACGTCCCCTTCTTCAAGCATGCCCATCTCCCCGTTCTAGTCCTTGTCCCAGTCTCCGTCCCTGTCCCCGTCTCGGAGGTCCTAGGGTTCCAGTCCTGACAGTGGCAGGATTTTCGATACTATTTATACGATATATGTCGCATTTAGCCACTGTCTGGCGGTAAATACTAGCGGCCAGCTATTTTGATCGTTAGTTTTCTTTGGTTTCTCCTATTAATACCAGGCGAATGTCGGAGCAGTACCGTAACAGACCACGCACCGCGCTCCATCTTAGCTTCCCTCTTTTTGTCCCCTTCTCTCTCTTACATACAGTACACAGATGCACTTCTCTACCAAACATGTCGAAAGCTTAGAGCTTGTTCTTACTGAGGATTTCCCCTGCTAATGGAGATACCTGGAACAAAGAAACCCTCGCAAGACCCCCTCCCCTAGATTTGCGCCAGATTTCATATTCTAGTGAGAGGAGGGACAGTGCCACCTCCAAGATAAAGCATGAACTACACTTACGAGACTAATGGCTATAGCAGTTGGTACACCCTCATACATGAAATAATTAATTGTTCCCGACCACGCCCAAATTCTGGGCCGTACGTACTAGCGCTTCAATCGCTTAACTAAATTGTCATGTACCTTTCCTTCTTGAGCTCTCGTCTAACCCTAGACCCTACTTCTGAAGCAATGACAAATGTTATGTTCTTTAAGACCGCTTTAATCACTGCCCACGCATTACGCCGTGGTGAAGACATCGCACATCCTGATAAACAGTTTATCAGCAGCAGCAGCAGCATGGATTAGGCTAATCTAGTCTGTTCCGGCATTGTGGTTTAGAGAAAGCCATCTCTTCGTTGGTCTTCCTACTTCTCTTTTTCCTTTTGGGAGATAGTAATAAGCCTATTTGGGCAATCTCTCATTGTTCATTCTTTGAAAATGATCTATCCAGTTTTTTTTCTATACGTATTTATCTCTTCTTGTATGCTGGTAATTCCCAATTCTTTTCTTTTATCCTCATTTCTAACATGGCCCATTAATGTGCATCCTTTCACATATCACAGAAATCTAATTTCTTCTGTGTTCATTCTCCTCTCAATTTCATTGTGACTTTCTACAGAAAACGAGAATGATGGACAGTTGTTGGTACTATACCTTAGAGCGATGTCTCCCGAACAGCTGTTGTACTCGAATAATGCATTCCGGCAGCGAAAATTTTCGACTCCATCTTACCCCGACTAATCCCACTCAATTCCCTTGTGGCTGGAGAGCAAACTGCGGGGCACGCGGATAAGAACAACATGTTATTGCGCGCTTCGTCGTGCGTCTGTTCCAGGTGCTCTCTCCCATCACCGGACGGGTGATCGGCGCCAAGGAGGTGCGCGTGGGCAGCGACAAGGTGACCGTCACCAAGTTGGTGGTGCGCGTGGTGTCCGGCCTCCAGTTGTCCATCGCGCCGGACAGCACGGTTGAGAACGGCTACGTCGCGGAGACCTCTGTCACCAGGAAGCTCACAGCCCAGTACCAGGTGCGCTTCCGGATAGCAAATAGCAGCCTTGCCCGTTTTCTCCAGAATCGTGATTCCTTATTCCTGTATATTTTTCTGATAGGCATTTCTTGTTATCAGTATTGAATTGCAGTATTATTTACCGTTGATTCAGTAATAAAAATTCTATTCGGTAAAAAAATTGTAAAAACACATTATCAATATTATTATTATTAATAATAATCATCATTAATAATTAATGATTGGTAATACTAATTATTTTATTGGTTATTAATAATTATTAGTAATACAAGTCCTGGAAGAGAAATTGATAGATAAAATTGAGATTTTATCCTCCAAGTTTTCACACTCAGAAACCTAGAAAATAATATGTTATAACAGGTTTAACAATAAAATACATCATGCTTTGTAAATCTATATTTATGTAACTTGTGTAGTTCTTGTGATACTTTATATTTATCTCCTCCGATCTCGGATTAGTAGCGTTGTTCTGTGTATAGGAGGGGCTGCTGGACATCGACCTGGAGTTCTCGGACGAGTCGCGCACACCGCTGCGCCAGGTGGCGGCGGCCGACTACCAGTTGCTGGTGGACAGTCTGGACCCCGAGGTGGTGGCGTTCGCGCCCATGGTGGCGTCGGCGCACCCGCGCGTCATCGCCGTGGGCGAGGGCCGCGGGGACCTGCTGCGCGTCACGTTGCTGCTGGCCGACGAGTGCCGCGGCCCGCCGCGCACGCGCCCGCTCAAGGTACGACCTGACACGCCTCGCTCCCACCACACCCGTCGTGGCACGGCCTGGATGGCATGACGCGACACGACGTGGCACGATCCGACGCACCGCTACCACACGGCCCATCCCAACCCGACTTGACGCGTCCCGATCCGACTCGACATGGCACGAGCCAATTCGACTCGATAGGGGACGTCGCGGACATACGTTATGGCACGTTCCGATCAGACATTACATGACACGACTCAACACAGCATGACACGATACAACGAAACACCTGACCCGACCCGACCCGACCCGACCC